CCCGCCCCCACAACTGGTTTGTGGAAAAACTGTTTTCCATGAAACCAGTACCTGGTGCCAGAAAGGTTGGGGACTGCTGGTTTAGATTATGATCATTTAAACTTGAGGGACCTGGAAGAGATTTCCAGCAAGAAGTGAACAATTAGGTCTGGAGTTCCAGAAAGAGATCTAGGCTAGACAGATAAACTTGAAGGCATTAACCTAGAGTTGTTAGTTAAAACTACAAAATCATCCAAGGAAAAGCATAGAGCAAGAGAGAAAGTGGCCCTGCATTGGCACCTGAGGGGTAGAAACAGCCAGCTGGGTACTGGCAATGGTGGTCAGAAAGGACCACAAAAAAAAGGTTAAAAAAAAACTTAGGGAGGAGAGACTTCTTCATGAAGTGAGTGATTAAAGGTGCCGTACGCCCTAAGACAGTCAAGTAAGAATATTGAAGAGAAGACATTGAATTCGTCACTAGGGGGCCCTTGGTTGTCTTTTCCAAGTAACATTTAGTGTGGTGTTGGGAGCAGAAGCCAGACTGAAATTGGTGGAAGAGTACCACAGAAACAACCTGAATTTACTGTAGCCGGGCCTCCATGGGCCTCTGGGGCCTCCACTGCTCATTTCGGAATCCACCCACAGCATCCCTGGCAGCCTCCTCTTCAGTTCAGAGAAGCCTGAAGAGAATCCAGAGTATCTGCCCAGGTTCTTGGCACAGCTTCAAATGAGCTTGTCAGATCTTTACTCCTAGTGGGAGGAGTGGAAACCAGCACAAGCCCAGCAGTCATATTCCAGGCTGGTTCCTGAGAGGCTGGGGTTCCAGCAGGGTAATAGGAAGGTTTTGATGCTGTGTCATGGCCAGAGCAAATGCTGCCAAGACCACGCGGAAATATCCAGCCAGATGGCTTGGGATAGAAACCTGGCATGGCACCAGGACTTGAAGTCATGCCAGGGATATGACTAGAGTAAAGGCAGGACTCAGCAAGCAAGGAGCTGAGGCCATGGCCATAGATGGCCTTGGGCACCCGGAACTGGCCTTGACTGGGTGTGGCAGGCTGACACAAAGACCCAGAAAGAGGACTTACAGAAGAAAGCTCATTTCATTTTCTAGAATGTGGCATTTCTCACATCTAGCACAGTGGGAGAGGTGGAGGGATGGGTTGATACCCTTGCACAGCCCAGCAGCCCGTTCAGGAGGGTGCTGTAGTTGGTACCTGGTCACTGTCTGCAGAGTGCATGATGCCCCTGCCTAATCAGGCTTGGCCAGTGTTGCTGTTTTGGGGCATCCCCAGATGAGAGAGGAGGGTCAACCCAAACCAGACCAGTTTCTTGCCCAAGAACTATGTTCGATGATGCCATGCTCCAGGCACTGCTCTCAAGGAACTCACAGGAGCCCCAAGAGAGGAACTGACTCAAACTGTGGAACCTGGCAGCCTGGCAGAGCCCATGAGTTTCGATCTCTGGCTGGAATCCCAGTTTACTCCCCAGGCACACCTGCCAGTCAAAATGTCCCGTACCCCAGTGTGAGCAATGGCCGAAGCAGAGTTGGGAAAGGGACCAGCTGGGACCACAAGGCCTGCCTTCCAGTAAATGGGCATGCAGCCAGAGGGAAAAGCTGGGCTTCTCCTGTGCTTACCCTACCATTTGGGCAGGCTCTTTACCAAGGCTACGCCCTGCCCACCACCTGAGGCTTCATGGCCTACCTTAGAAGGAGTCAGAATCTCATCAACTTTAAGCCCCAAGCTCAGAATCTCATCAACTTTAACCCTGAGGGACATGGGTACCAGTGGACCTAAGCATCATTGGAACCCACTTCTCTGCTGGTCCCAGGGTACCAGGATGCTTTGTGGGCCTCATGTTAGTCTCAGGTCATCCACAGCTTGAGCTGTTTAGCCAGATGTTTCCCCATGGGCTTCCGCACCATCCCAGTGAGAGCAAGGACATTCAAGCTTCCACCCCATCTGTAGCAGCCACTGCTACCTTGAAACAGTCGATCTCCACACATTCCTCAGTTGTGTTAATTCAAAAGTTTGACTGAACACAGTTTATGCTCTGCTTGAGAAGAGTGAGTTACAAAGCCATCCATGTGAACATCCATCATTTCTGTTGTCCACCACTGAAACGCCCATAGCCAGACAGTGGCCACCTGGATCTTTTTAAATAATAATGATAGTTACACAGGTAGGCATACTCTGCCTTGTTACAACAGTAGGCCGCTTCTAAGTGTTCATAACATGCAATCTGATTAGTAAAAATAGAAGCAGGTGAGTAATAAAAAAAGGAGAACAAACAATGTTAATATGTGATCGTGTCTTGAATTTTATATTCCTTTTACATGTAGGCACTAATTTGGCTCCAGACTTGCTATAACAGCCATCTTGAAAAAGGCAGCCTTGCCAGTTACATAGTTTAGTATTCATTAGATAGGAAATGAGCTAATTACTCAGAGTACAGTATAATGATTCCTGATGCTAAAACCAGAAAGAAACCCTCCCATGATCCTCTTGCAGAATACACTGGACATCGTGAAGACTGGAATGTGCTCACAGACAACCCAGATGCTGCTTCCTATTTTCCCTTCCCTCTTGACCAGCAGCTTCCTATCAAATTGTCTTTCAGTGAAAGAAACTGGGTCAGGAGTGCCTTTCTCTACTGCTTTGGCTTAATTCAGTGGTACATGCTGGGGCAATGGTCCTCAAACTTGGCTACACACTTCAGTCAACTGGGGAACTTTAAAAAATTCTGATTCCTTGGCTGTTCCCCATAAGTCAGAATTTCTGGGGATGGGACCCAGGATACTGAGATTAATGAATACTAACAATAACAGGTGATTCTAGCAAATAGCAAAGTTTGAGAGCCATTTTTTTAGAGCATCTATGGTCAGAGTTGATATTGAACCTGCACATACCAGTATGTCCATACTGGTTCTTAAAATATGGTCAGAAAAAGAGGAATTAGTAAATAACCTCTGCCTGAACCCCATGACCATTTCTCACCTGCTCAGGCCACTCTGCCAGTAACCACCTGACTTGTCCGTAATTGAACAACTATGGGGGTAACACTTCATGCTATAGAAGGCCTCCAAGACCCTGTTCCAGTGCTACAGCCAGACTCATTTGGTTGATTGAGCCCTTGCTGTGAAGATTTAGTATTTTGAACACCATCTATATTATCTATAGTAATGGATTGACTACAAATTTAACAGGGAGTCTTCCATACATTTTTTTCAGTTTTTGATTGTTGAACAGTAGAAAGTTCAAAATGGTATTCTAGCCAAATAAGGGGAAATTTACATGCCTTAACTGGCTGATGCCATTTGACATACTTTGTGGATACTCTATCTCCCAACAAGTAAAAGTTTGTATGTGGCAGGCCACCAGCTCCACTGAGAGATGATGTAACAGTATTTTCAAGCAGAACCCTGGACCCATCCTGAGATCAATAGGCCTGACCTACCAATTGCATCTGTATGGAATTTGTATACAAACAAATTATACATGTCTTTCACCAAGAACATTCTCTACCACAGAGATTATGGGTTCACCTCTGTTGTTTCCCTGAACCTGTTGACACCACAAAACCCCAATAGGCAGCCAGACTTCAAAGGGCTCATGAGCATCCAAGAGGACTTCAGTTATTCTCAGTTATCAGGGTACCAGTAAACACATTGTAGCCAGCGCCAAGGGCCTGAGAAGGCTATGAAAGAGGAGTCTCAATCTGCTCCTTCTCCCAGCCTGTGCTACAACAAGGAGGACCTGTAACTGGGGTCCCACAAGGTAAATGAGGTCCCAACTGCATGACCTTCTAAATCCAGCAATATTCTTGACGTGAGTCCAATATCTCTCTGCCACTCACTAGTGCTTCCAAGCTCTCCATCCTACACTCTACAATCTGCTCGGGAACCTAAATACATCATCAAAGAGGATCCAGACTTCCACCCATATCACCGTCCTCCTTCTCCCACGCCTACCAGAACACATTGAGTCTTCCCTCAGGTGAAACAAGGGAGAGAAATACTTCTTTTGGGGACAGAATCTGAGAAGTATTGTCTTTGGGCCTAGCCCGTTAAGAGGAGTCGATGCCCAGGAACAGGTGAAAGCCAACCCCATCTCTGTTCCCTCTCAGTCTGCCCTGCTGTGCATTGGCTGCACCTGCCCTTGTCACCAGGTCAGTGGTCACAGCAATTATGTATGAGAGCTCTTTATGTGCCCGCTACTGTGCTGTGCACTTGATATAAACAATCCAACTTAATTTTCACTTCCCTCCCAATGGAAGCACTAATATTATACACATTTCACAGGTGAGAAAACTGAGGCTTCGAGAGATGAAAGAATTTGTCCAAGTGGCAGAGCTAAGATTCAAACTCAGATTTATCTGGCTTCAAACTGCCTATGCCACCTGTTCTTTTTTGATCACGGCTCCCCATTGCTTCCTCAGACCCCCATGCTAGCTTAATCGACATATTTGGGTTATATTCTGCAGCTGGCCAACCTCAGCCTCCTTTCAGAACCTTCAAATATTTCGCTCACATTCCCACTCTCACTTCCTCCCTCAGATTTGGGGTACCCATGGCTCTAAGCCAGAGGGCCTCTCTGCCAGATAGAGACCTGACATATCAGACCCTTATTGATAGAAACATGTACCCAGAGGCTGGGTAATTATGGAGCCATTATATAAGCATGGCCTAGAACAAATATTCCTCAAATCTGGAAATAACTATTCCCTACATTTCACCAAATCATTTAACCTCATGCCTCCCAAAACCAGGGTTTTGTCAAATAACTTACACATTTTCATGCAACTCACCCACACTTGTGTTCTTTGCCACTAAAGTACTAGATAGTTATGAAATTTACCCCAAACTGTGGATGTATAATATTATTCATGGTTTGATTCTTGAATGTTTTAAAATGGTAAAAAAAGATAACATTTGTTAGCCTGTAGCAGCCTTGAAAGATTACTGTCAAAAAGTGTGTATTTTTTAGATGTTTGTTTGTATTTTCTTTTCTTTCTTGGAGAAATCAAATCAGAGATGAAGACAAAACTTGGTGAGCAGGGTCCTCAGATCCTCAGTGTCCAGAGAGTCTACATTCAGACAAGGGAAGAGAAGCGTATTAACCTGACCATTGGTAGCAGAGCCTATTTGCTGCCCAACACATCCGTGATAATTAAGTGCCCAGTGCGACGATTCCAGAAATCTCTGATCCAGTGGGAGAAGGATGGCCGTTGCCTGCAGAACTCCAAACGGCTTGGCATCACCAAGTCAGGCTCACTAAAAATCCACAGTCTTGCCACCCCTGACATTGGCGTGTACCGGTGCATTGCAGGCTCTGCACAGGAAACCGTTGTGCTCAAGCTCATTGGTACTGACAACCGGCTCATTGCACGCCCAGCCCTCAGGGAGCCTATGAGGGAATATCCTGGGATGGACCACAATGAAGCCAATAGTTTGGGAGTCACATGGCATAAAATGAGGCAAATGTGGAATAACAAAAATGACCTTTATCTGGATGATGACTACATTAGTAACCAGCCTTTCTTGAGAGCTCTGTTAGGCCACTGCAGCAGTTCTGCAGGAAACACCAACTCCTGGGAGTTGAAGAATAAGCAGTTTGAAGCAGCAGTTAAACAAGGAGCATACAGCATGGATACAGCCCAGTTTGATGAGCTGATAAGAAACATGAGTCAGCTTATGGAAACCGGAGAGGTCAGCGATGATCTTGCGTCCCAGCTAATATATCAGCTGGTGGCCGAATTAGCCAAGGCACAGCCAACACACATGCAGTGGTGGGGCATCCAGGAAGAGATGCCTCCTGCTGCTCAGCTTAGGGGGGAAACAGGAAGTGTGTCCCAAAGCTCAAATGCAAAAAACTCAGGCAAGCTGACATTCAAGCCGAAAGGACCTGTTCTCATGAGGCAAAGCCAACCTCCCTCAATTTCATTTAATAAAACGATAAATTCCAGGATTGGAAATACAGTATACATTACAAAAAGGACAGAGGTCATCAATATACTGTGTGACCTTATTACCCCTGGTGAGGCCACATATACATGGACCAAGGATGGAACCTTGTTACAGCCCTCAGTAAAGTAAGTAAAATAAGAATGTAGTATTCATTTTTGCACTACCTTCTTAATGGCTATTCCAGTTTTCTTGAAAATATTTTCAAATTCCTCTCCTAGGCATGTGTTTCCAACAGGATTCTTTAGGAAAGAAACTTAAAAATGTTAGGATATGTTTTTGACATATGCGTTGGAATTTTTAAATTCAACCGCCATATCGTCCCAATCACTATCATAGAGGTGTGATATAAGACTGGATCCAGCAAGAATAAGTTTAAGCATGTGTACACTCCCCCTTTACTCAACACTTAGCATTTAAAAATAAAATCAATATAAGAGCATTTTAAAAGTAAGCTTACTAGCAGTAATCCTACATTATGTTGGAGCTGCAAATCAGAATTTACAGAGCTCTTCCATGTCTACAAGACATGGTATCTCATTTGAGCTCACATCAGCCCCATGAGGTTGGCAGGGGCAGGGGTTAACCTTTCTGATGAGGTCATTGAGAAGCAGAATCCCATGACTACTTCATGGCCAGTCAGAACCAAGGGCCATATCTCTTGAATACTGCCAGTGGTATTTGAGTATCACACAAATAAGTAGCCTTAGTCGAAAGCTTGGGCATCTGAAGTAGTTTTCTATTATCATGTAATTTTTAAATGTCATACAATCCAAAAATAAGGAAGTGTTTTGAGATGTTCAAAACACAATATTAAGTCATATATTATTCTGATCTCTATGCCAGTGCAAAAATGTCACATTTCCTTTATTTTACATAACAGATACTAATTTACTTTTGCATTCTTTATTGTCTTCAAATCTTGCTGTTTGTATAGAAAGGACTATAGTCATTGTGCTGCCTTTTGATTCACTCACATTTACGAGCTCCAGCTGTATCTTATCTGCCTTTAGAGATCGTTAAGAGACACAGATAACACAGCAGATGTGAAACCGTTTTGCATATCATAAGGTGCTTTCAAAATGCAAGTTTTACTTTTATCATGTCTTTTGTGCATTGAGCCTCGTATGTGAAACATCAGAAAAAACTTAGGTTAAATTCAGTTTTTTAAATAAATTATTAGGCTGTATCTTAAAAAGGTAGAAAAAATACAATTTTTGAATTTTTAATGCTAGAACTCTGAACACAAGAGTACAATGAAATTTTAGAAGTAGAATAAACCTTAAAACATAGCAGTTCTTAGAGCTTTTGGTTTTAGAGTCTTTAAAATTTTTAAATGATTGAGGAGCCTAAAGAGCTTTTATAAATGTGAGTTGTATCTATTGCTATTTACTTCCCTAGAAATTAAAACCAAGAAACACTGAAAATATCTCCATTAATCTATTTAGAAAAAATAATGGGCCCATAACATGTTCACACAAAGAACATATTTTTTGAAAACCATCCCCCCGCCACCAAAATTACTGGTAACAGTGGAATTGCTTTCCATCTTTGCAGATCTCTTTAATGTCTGGCATAATAAAAGAAGACAGCTGGATTCTTATTTCCGCATCTGTTGTGAAATGTTGTTTTAGTTAAAGTATATGGAGAAAAGAAATGTGTGTTATACAAATGTGTTAGCTGGAAGAGAAAGAATATTTTAATATCTTTTGAGATAATTGTGGATATTCTTTAATTCTACACTAAAACTAGACAAAGAGTAATTTCTCAAAGGTTAGTTGAAATGTGCAATCTGAAACTATATTAATGAAATGTTGGTACTCTGTTTAATGAAATCTGCTGTTTTTTTCTTGCATTTTGAATAGATTTTTTACCCATACAAGATTTTGTAACACCATCAATTGGTCATTTGGAAAATATTGGCTCACTGAGTGATACAGACCTTCCAAATGTTGGTACATTTCATTATGCAATGTAAAAAAATACACATTAAAAAAATCACCATGTATCTCATCAAAAAAAGTCTTTAAGTTTTGGGAAGCTGTCAGGCTTACAGTGGTGGATATCAGTTTTCCAAAATTCTAATTTTCACATCAAAACTTTTTCATCATTGGCAACAAATACTGTCAGTTGTGTCATTGAATTGGCCAGCTCATTTAAAATATATATATATCTACCAAATACTCAACTTTAAATCATAGTGTGGACTTTTTTTGTCATAGTTTGTTGGTCATTCTTTCAAGTAAAAATCATATTCCATGAAAGAAGCTATTAGTTCTTCAGCATGCAGTGGAAGTGCTTTGTGTGTACTTCCCATTGTGTCATATTGGATATGAAAAACATATGGACTCAAGGGTCGAGATTTAGTAAGATTAATACCTTTTACTACTTCATTAAGGACATTCTTTTTTTTCTTTTCTTTATTGAGACAGAGTCTTGCTTTGTCACTCAGGCTGGAGTGCAGTGGTGCGATCTCAGCTTACTGCAACCTCTGCCTCCTGGTTTCAAGTGATTCTCCTGCTTCAGTCTCCCAAGTAACTGGGATTACAGGTGCACACCACCACCCCCCAGCTAATGTTTTGTATTTTTAGTAGAGATAGGGTTTTACCATGTTGGCCAGGTTGGTCTTGAACTCCTGATCTCAAGTGATCCACCCACCTCGGCCTCCCAAAGTGCTGGGATTACAGGCATGAGTTGCCGTGCCCGGCCATTAAGGGACGGGAATTCCCATGCTTAAGGGAAACTGGCATTTTTTTTTTTTTTTTTCAGCAAGTGAAACATAGTAGTCAAGAATACAGTGATTACTGGCACACTTCCATACCACTGTCTTGGTTCATGCTAAGGTGCCAGCAGTCTTACCAACACTGTCTTTGCACTCTCAGTGAAAGGTCAGTACCGTTTTTAAAAAGGCAAATTAATGGCTTCGTATTATTACAAAACTAGCTTTGACCTCATGGACTTCTAGGGATTCATGGACCACACTTTGAAAACTGCTAACTTGTTTCAGTAATCCATTTTATAAATTGTAAGGAAATAGAGGCTGAGAGGTTGAAGTGATCTGTTGACCTATGGCCATATAAGTACTATAGTGATATAGAGGAGCCTGATCAGTTTAAATAAATATTTGTTGAATTGAGTTCATTTTAAATAGATTGACTTGATGGAATGGAATTAACATAACTTTATCAGGCTGAGACTCCTGGAGCTTGTATAAAGAAGTTTTGACATGGTACATCCTCCTCAGATGTGTTTCTGCATCCTTTAAGGATCAACCATTCAAAACAGAAGCAATTTTGTATGTCCAGTAAAATGTTTTGTTTTTAATTTTTAAGATAATAAGATCCATTTTCATTTCTATTTTTCCTCCGAAACTTACCCAATTAATTTGTTCAGTTTATGTTTAATTCCCTTTACATAACAAAGGTTCTCATCCTTAAATATACTTTCTGAATCTTAAAAATCTTTTCAATTGAAGTAATTGAGAAATGGAATTATGTTCCTGAAAGCCTCTATCCAGTGAGAGAAACTGTGTAGGCATGGAGTACTGTTTGGATGCCAATTGAGTAAGAAATCTCAACTATGAAGAGAAGGTTGTGGGTGGATCAGTTAGAGATGGTGCCTGTAGAAAGATCAACTTTGTTATTACTTCAACTTAAAAGTAAGATTATGCAGCAGAGGCCAAGGTCAGATCTATTACAGAATTCAACCTGGTGGTTCTCCAGCCCAGGGACAGATCCAGGCTAGGTACCCAGTGGCCCCACCTGTCATGTAAGGTTCATGCATGCTCAGCTATTTCTGATCTCAATGATTTCTCACTGGACTGTTACACTGAAACCTACAAAACAAAGGCATTATTTGAGAATTGCTAAATCATACAAACATATATATGAAATAATTTAAGAAAATGATTTAGTGTGTTTATTTTTCATGTGTAGTCACTGGTTAGACTTTTGCTTTTAACCAACTATTTCTCCTCCCTCAGGATTTGACAGTGAAAATCTTGCCTTACCACCAGTGAGGTCTGCCATACTCTTGTTGCTCTGAGACACTTTCGCTGTTTTGACTTCTGTCCGCTTTTGTATATTTCTTATGTGTGTTGCAGCAGGGCTTGTATGCTCTTGGTACTGTTGCTCTGTGCCATTATTTCGTACTATTCTAATCATTCATACATTTAGTCATCAAAGATTTTTGAGAACTTGGTATATAAAAGTCTAAGCAGTGAGAATCCACAGCTGTGAATAAGATTTGGTTCCCTGCCCTTGAAAAGATCACAGTCTAGTGGGAAGAAATCGATATTTCATCAAATAAATATATGCACCAGAGAAGAAGGAGCCCAGAGGATACAGAAGATAACTCTAGGAGTATTGGTGAAAACTTTACAGGGGAAATTACATTTGATCCAGGACTCAGTGGGTGGGTCTGAGTTTGCCAGAAAGGGGGAAGGGCATTTCAAATGAAGTGAACAACATATGCAAAAGCTCACGGTAATGAAAAATCATGGAAGGTTCTGGAAACAGTTAAGGTTCATTATGACTGAAGCATAGAGCGAACGACATGAAGTGACAGGAAATAAAGAAGTGGCACAGCTCATCTCATGATGAAACATACAGTATTTACAGGGCAGAATAGTCTATATTGCTAAGATCTATAAAGTGAGATGGGGCAGGGGAAAAATAGTATATAACCACTGATCTGGGTGATTTAGAAGCAGATTCAAATTATTAAGAATAAAATAAAATAAAAGCAGAACAAGCACTCTTCCCTTCATAACAAAGGTTCTTCTCACCGTTAGATATACTTTCTGAATCTCTGAATAATTATCTAATTGGTTAGGCTACACCTGACCAACTCTGATTCTCAAAGTGGTATTTACACACCGGATTTTAGGAATATCAGTAATTGGGAAACCATAATGAACTCGTCATGCAGGTTAGCCCTAATTCTTAACAGCATGGTCCAAATCCAGTGTATGCCACAGACTTAGCATGATTACCTCAATCGACTTCTTCATACGGGAATAATAAGACCATAATCCAATGCAAAACAGCCTTAGCCAAAACCCAATCACTTCCAGCATGAAAATCCAAACTGAAAATCCACACCTGCAGTTTCTTAGGAAGGATTTGGGCAGAAAATGAATGTTTAACATCCAGCAAATGAATAGGTTTGCTGGGTTGTTTTTTTAAAAAATGTGGCAGATTAAGCATTGAGTTCACCAGAAAAGTCTTTTGTCATGTAAAGTGGGATGGGAAGACTGGATTTCTAAGCACTGTTCAGCTCTAACATTGCTGTTAACCTATGTCAAGAGGAAACACTCCACCCTCCTGGTCTATATAGTTCTCTGCTTATAGGCAGGATGCTTGACAAAATTATCCTTTGTGATCTTTGCCAGCCCAAAGCCTATAATGGTGCAGTCTTCTTTCTCTGCAACTCACTGTAGCCCTAGGTCAGTTAAATTGTTATATGAATGTGTCCTCTTTCTAACTGTCCTACAGAATAATTTTGGATGGAACTGGGAAGATACAGATACAGAATCCTACAAGGAAAGAACAAGGCATATATGAATGTTCTGTAGCTAATCATCTTGGTTCAGATGTGGAAAGTTCTTCTGTGCTATATGCAGGTAATGCCCACTGTTGAAACCTAGAATGCCTGGTTCTTTGTTTATTTGTTTTTAACATTAAATTCTAGAGCAGTAGTTCTCATTAGCAGCCGTCAGAATCATCTGGAATGCTTGTTAAAACACAGATTGCTGGACTCCACCCCTGGAGGTTCTGGTTCAGTAGGTTTGGGATGGAGTCTGAGAATCGGCATTTTCAACATGTGCCCAGGTTATGCCAATGCTGCCGGCCTGAGGACCACACTGAAAACGGCTGCTCAGGAGCTCACTTTCTAAGAATCAGGAAATAATGACATGGGGTTTAATTGGCAGTGCTGATATTAATGAACTTTGCATTTTTTAAAGTTCCACCAGCCAACAGAAAAGAATAATTATCTTTTATAGATTGCATATACCTCCCAGTGGCATACCTGCCAATCCTGAGAAACACCTTCAGGAAGTTGTAACTGTAAAGTAGTGTGTGTCTTCCTGGGAGGTGGACAATGTCATTTGGATATTAAAATATACTTTTATTATAAAGAAACATTTTTAGGTGCTAAAGTTGCAGGCAAAGCTGTATTTGGCAAGTTCATGTTCTGGGATAAAAATAAGAGGCCAAAGTGGGTGGTTCTTGCCTGTAATCCCAGCACTTTGGCAGGCTGAGGCAGGAGGATCACTTGAGGCCAGGAGTTCAAGACCTGCCTGGAAAGGAAAGAAAGATCATGTCTCTACAAAAAAAACATTTTTTAAAATTACCCAGGAGTAGTGCATGCCTGTAGTCCCAGCTAACTCAGGAGGCTGAGGTAGGAAGGTCTCTTGAGTCCAGGAGCTCAAGGCTACAGTGAGCTGTGATCATGCCACGGCACTAAAGCCTAGGCAACAGAGTGAGACCCTGTGTCTAAAAAAAAATTAAAATTAAAAATAAATAATAAAACAAGAGAGCCATCTGCCACCTCCCTACTCTGTAGTTTCTGTTATCTGTGGCTCAAATGGACTAAAGTGAGTAGAGAGAGACAGTATCAGGAATTCAGGAATTAGAACCCAGCATTTAGCCAGTGTTGAGCTTTGCGGCAGGTACTTCACATCTACAAACTAAGGAGGTTGGACTAGTTGATTTTTTTTTTTTTTTTTTTGAGACAGAATCTCACTCTGTCCTCCAGGCTGGAGTGCAGTGGCATGACCTCAGCTCACTGCAACCTCCGCCTTCCGGGTTCAAGTGGTTCTCCTGCCTTAGCCTCCCAAGTAGCTGGGAGGACTACAGGCAAGCACAACCATGACCTGCTAATTTTTGTATTTTTAGTAGAGACAGGGTTTCGCCTTGTTGATCAGGCTGGTCTCGAACTCCTGACCTCAGGTGATCCACCCCGTTGGCCTCCCAAAATGCGGGGATTACCAGCATGAGCCACTGTCCCAGCCGGACTAGTTGACTCTTTTTTTTTTTCTTTTTTGAAACAGAGTCTCTCTCTCTCACCTAGGCTAGAGTGCAGTGGTGCAATCTCAGCTTACTGCAACCTCCACCTCCTGGCCTCAAGCGATTCTCCTGCCTTAGCTTCCTGAGTAGCTGGGATTACAGGTGTAATCACCCAGCTAATTTTTTTGTATTTTTTTTAGTAGAGACAGGGTTTCACCATGTTGGCCAGGCTGCTCTTGAACTCCTAACCTCAAATGATTTGCCTGCCTCGGCCTCCCAAAGGGCTGGGATTACAGGTGTGAGCCACCACGCCCAGCCCGGACTAGTTGATTTTAAATGGTCCCTGAATCTGTATGTCTTGAAAATTCTTCTGAGTCCCTTCCCTGGCTGCCTTCCCAAGGCAGGGCATTCAGGCCTTGGTTTTCTGTGCCTTGATCCTCCGGGCTTGTTCTGTCCTGTGAATATCAGCTCCTTTCCAGAAAGTATTAGTTCCAAGGTTCTGGAACTCCTGTGGGGGAATGGGAGCCCCCCTTGCAACTGTCAAGTCTAAGCCCATCCCAGAACAACTCATATTCCTGGTATTGCTGCTGTGAAGTCTTCAGGAGTCAAAGGATGTGCTGTGAAAACCAAAGTCCTCTCCCAGCCAAAGCGTTCCTATCTTTTCATTTCTCTGGATAGCTTTCCACTGCCCCAGGTACTCCAGGAGAGAAGGAAACATTTGAACCCTCAAACATGATCCTTCTTAGATTATCTTCCCCCAGAATACGTGGTTACCAATACCAATTCATGCACTAACTATGCATAGGTGATAAAACAAGTTCAGGGATCATGATCTCTCCCTTCAGGAGCTCTCATAGTACTAATGGTGTAGTAGGGAAACCAACCATTGCGACAGTGCTAAGGTAAGAGAATGCTCTGTCAAACGTCCTCTCTGGGATGTTGCTTCCCTGACCCTCACATGCTACTGAGAGACCACTGGGTAACTAGTCCCTTATCTCAATACCCACATCCCTGCATAGTAATGGTGTCTCCCACAGGTCTGTGAGCTCCTTGAGGACAAGAGGGTGTGTTTTCCAACTTAGTATTGCCATTGTCCAGCTCAGGCACAAAGTGTGCTTCCTGAGTGAGTGAATAAATTAATCTGGTAACTAAATACTGAAATCCAAAAGAAAATAAACATTTTAAAATGGACGTTTGATTCTTTATGACCTTGTTTGTATTATTTTTGCATGCAAATTTTATGCCTGTACTTGCTTCATATTAATTAAATGTTAACCTTGAATTTTTCTTGTGGACAGTTCTGATCCACTTGTAATAACCTCATATGGTCTCATAAAGTGGGAAGTCAGACATTTCTCTCTTGAGACTTTCTGCAGTGTAGAGATGTAAATAATGTTTTAAATAGGTCTCCTTGCAATTGATAGTCTTTAAATAGTAATGGCTTTTCTATTTTAGATTGAAATGAGTTTATTTAAGTAGGGTCTGAACTACACGTTGGGTGAGAGGACTGCACTTGGAAGAGATCTTCTAGCTCAATCATTTTTTTAATGGGATTCAAACTGAAGCCTAGAGAGGGAAGATTTTGCCCAAGCACATATGCAGCTTATTAGAAGAGGCGCAACAAGAATTGTGGCCTCCTACCTGTCTCATCTTTCTCTAGTATAGCTTCGAATGAGCTCTGAAGCCTGGTTACATCCTGGTATCCACATGTCAGCCTGGCTGTGGCACCATATTCAGAAAAACTTTATAAGGATTAGGTACCACATTTATTCTGCAAATGCCTGTGTACGTCTCCTTCTGCACCATTACACTTTGTGCTTATCGAAAGAGGAGAGACTTCTCATCTTGTACCCAGGTGCAGACCACAGAGTGGACACTTGGTAAATGTTTACATTGGAAAAAACCTCTTATTACGCTGGCCCCAATGAAGGACAACAGAATGGATCAGGACCTTCTGTCCTGTCTTCATCAATCCCCTCCCCCAGTATCTCACATCCCTCCTTCCAGAAAAAGAGTCAGGTGGTCCCAAGCCCCAGTGTGTTTTGTCCCTGCATTAACTCATTCGTGGCTGCACTGCAGAGGCATCATTCCTGCTCTGTCTGTCTTCTTTGCTTCTTCTGATCTTCTGAATTCCTTCTTTTTCAAATTATCAAAGAGGAATTTATCCTCAATTTTAGTTATAAAACCAAAATATCCTCATAGTCTACATATTGTTTTTGCAGTGTACCTTTGAATTCATCCAACCCTCTATCCATTCATCCATCTGTCCATATGTCCACTGAGCACCTCCAGGTATGTATGTGCACATCCCCATGGTGCACCTTGAGGGATACAGAGAGAACCAGGACTCCACTCCTGCCCTCAAAGGGCTCAACAAAGCTTACCAAATGCAACATGTTTTACCAAAGAGCAAAAGCCTGAACCTAACATAGTTTCCTGCTCCCTTTGAATTAAGAGGCACCTGTCATCTTGTCTATTGAAAGAAATATCACCAAACCAGAGCACAACCATCTGTCTGTCATGGTTGGAGGCATTGTGGAGGCAGCCCTTGGAGCAAACGTGACAATCCGATGTCCTGTAAAAGGTAAGTGTGGTCATTTCAGTGGGAGGGTGTGTGGCCATCCCAATGTGGCCAGGAGACACCAGCTAGCATTTTGGTATTTGAGACCTCAGCCTGATAGGCTTAAAAAACAGATTTCCCAGCACACTGACAGTGGATCTGACTCTCAAGAGTGAACTCATACTGGCTCATGAGACCGATGTATAAAACAGAATGCCAAGTTACTTGTTTGCAGTGTGGACTGTGACTGCCATGCACACTGGACTGTTCATATTGGCAAGACCAGAACACTCTGTCCCTGTGGGCAGAGCTACAAAAAAGGCCAACTTTTAGTCAGAGGGTTACTTGGTGAATAACATAGTCAGAGCATGGGATTTGTTGGAAATTGTAAGACATGTCCTCCAGATAGACAAAAGCTACACTTGGCAAAGCCAGATCAGGAAGCTAGAATGTCCATATCCCCTGACCTAGGCTATCTTCTGGATTGTCCCTGGGTAAGCGTCAGCAGCCTGTGCCTCAGTGGCTCTTTCTCCTATGTTTACAACTGCAGACAAACCTCCTTTCTAATGTTTACACTCTTTCTTTAATAGAATTAACACTTTCAGTCTGACCTTGCTTTAACCTAGGGCCATCCTGTCTCCTTAAGCCATGGATTCTTAAGTCTTAATCTGGGCCCATGCATCTCTGAACTGCAGATAAATATTATATGCTGCATATATGTACATTTTACAGGGACCAGGAGAGCTGGGAATGAGGGGGTTGTATGAATAGGTTTTTATTGCTTCCTTAGAGAAACTTATGAACTCCTCCAAATTGAAATATACTCTTTTAGATGACTTTGTGTATGCCTTTCAATGCAGAGTAAATCTGCATTGACTTAACTCTCTGGACAACTGTATTTCCCTAGCTTCCAAGTTCTAAGTAGATACCTGTAGTTGCAGCCACTTAAGATGAGTCTTGCCTAGGCTGTGACCCTGATTGCCTAGGGTGACAGAGGAGCTGCTACTGCTCTTAGAAATGCAGTGAGGGCGCATGTAATGAGGGATTCGAGGACACACTCATCCAGCTTTCAGGCTCTCCCTCCACTGTCATGATCAGTTACTTGCCATGTTTCCAAAGCTACACCTTTGGCTCTACAAACAGTGGAAATTTGCTAACCCCCAAGATATTATTTTTCACCCCTTGGCAATCCCTGCAGTGTTTGGCTTATGCAGACTTTTGAAAAATTGCTCCAGTCTCCCAACTGACTCCACCCACAAATATGTGAGTTTTCTGGCAAAATACACCCACCATTACAGAAAGGGCCGGCATTCTCTGGCCATAGCAAGGAGAAAAGCAGAACGGAACGCTGCAGATGCCAAGCCACAGATGTCTAAAGTTTCTACAGCCCTACACCTGCAGAGGATTCTGAAAAATAGATCTGACTTCTATTAAGAGAAACCTCAGCTTTCAACATGACTTCTAAATTTTTCACTTCCACAATACTTGAAAATCAGGCTTTCAGGGAGATGAGCCATTAAAAGGATTGGAGTGCATTATTTGCTATCGGAAGTCAGAGGCTGGATTAGGTGGAAACTGCAAGTAAAGGCTCCAGCAAAGACCATTAAACTCATCTCGTTTTATTCTCATCCAGGCCCAGTCAGACATGGGCTGTCTCTGACCCTCCGTAGCCCCACTGTCCTCCTGGGTCGACAGCACTGCTGCCTAGATGGAACTCGGCACTGGGAGTACTCATCTCCCTCCTCCTTCCCTCACCTTTTAGCTCTTACTAGGAATTGTCCCATTTGGCCTTTCTTTACCTGGCAGTCTTCCCCCGTGGACTCAGACCCCAGAACTCCTGATGAGTTCTTTCCTTTTAAAAATAAACCTGCCTCCAAATGCACCACAATCATGTTGAGTTATTTGCCATTTTAAACAAACCTGTAGTGAACTTACAGTGTTTTCTTATGGGCAGAAGCCATACCTAATGGAGTTTTCTAGGGAAATTCATCTTTTTTAAGACAGATGGTGAAGTTGATGAAGGGTCAGAAAACTCGAGTTTTACAGACAGTCTTGTCACTAGCTAGTATATAACCATAGGTGAGTCATATATCTTTCTTCCCTCATCTCTAAAGCAGGGAATATATTATATTAATAGAAGAAGGGACTGTGGTTATCATCCAATTCCATTTTTCATCTTATAGATGAGTACATTAAAACATAATTTACAAAACTGAACTCTTACTTACAAATTACATTTTTATACTGCAAATTGGGATTTCTGTAAATCAGTGGCATATATAATTTTTTAAGTTGCTTTAGAATATTTCCCACTAATTATAATGAATTTATTTTTATAGACCCCATAACACATATTGATAACTTCTAGAGAAGTTCATCTTATCTTTTTTATAGCCAAACATGTTTCGTCAACCCATGTGGTATAGATGTCAATAGGGATTATCTCTAGTCACTCTTAGAGATATTTCTAATAACTATGTTAAATAACAGAACCTAAAAGTCCGCATATTTGCCTATTTCTAAAGGTTAAAACTTCTAACTTGAGAGAGTTATTTGCCTTACTCTTTAAAAAAAAGATTTTTTTTCTGTCCATTTGGGTGGGGGTAATTTAAAGCGCACCTTTTTTGCCACCTTCTGGTAAGAAAGAAAAGTTCGTCTGGGGAAAATGACCAGTAAATATCATTGCTGCAGGTTTTTTTTTTTTTTTTTTTTTTTTTTTTTTTTTTCACGTTAATACATAGTAAGAACATTACTTATCCTGTAATTTTCTGTTGTGTATTATGTGTTGTTTATCTTATTCCTTAAGCTCATGAGAGATGCACCTGATGTGAGTCCCTTCTCTAAAGTGTTTTGTTGTGTGTCACACTCCTCTTTAGTCTCTAAGGAACTCTCTTGGCCACAGATGGGAATGGGTTTGACCTAGATGGTGATTCCCAAATGAAGGGCACTGGCAAAGCCATCAATGGCCGAGCCCCAAGCGTAGAAAATTTCTTAAACACAAGGTGCACTGGACAACTGCTTCTTAGAGCAAACTCAAACTGCCTGGAAAGATTAGAGATGCTTCTAAACTAAAACTAAGCTAAAGAATAAAAACACCTTTGAATGCTATTAGAGGACACTGGTGTACATCTCCTTTAGGAGGAAAAATTATACAACTGTGGATGGCACCTGACATCTCACCAGGCAGCTGGGTATATGTAGGTTATACAAAAGACTCATTAACAATAAATGCAGAAGCAAATAAATAAAGTTTAACACATTCCCAAATGAATCCAGTCATGTGGATGACTAAAGGAGAGTTCTTCCCAGGAATGCAAATATTTTAAAAAATATCTACTTTAAACAGAGCATCACAGGTTGAATCCTCTTTGGAACGAGGGGTTTTTTGTTTCTGGTTTTTTTTTTCTGTGTGTGTGTGTTTTTTTTTTTTTTCCAGAGTCTTACTCTGTTGCCCAGGTTGGAGGGAGGGCAGTGATGTGATCTTGGCTCACTGCAATCTCTGCCTCTCAGGTTCAAGCAATTCTCCTATCTCAGCCTCCCAAATAGCTAGGATTACAGATGCAAGCCACCATGTCTGGCTATTTTTTTTTTTTTTTTTTTGTATTTTTAGTAGAGACGGAGTTTCACCATGTTGCCCAGGCTGGTCTCGAACTCCTGACCTCAAGTAATCCACCCACCTCAGCCTCCCAAACTGTTGGGATTCTGGACGTGAGCCACGGCATCCGGCCCTGGAAGGAGTTTTTGTGTAGTATATTTATTAGTTGTCAACATATGTGGAAGGGAGGAGGCAAGCAGGATTAGACAGAGGGCAAAGGAGGACTGTGATGCAGGCCCACAAAGCCTTGCCAAGCCCCCTTGAGACATATGTGACTCATTAGAGTTGCCCCAGGCTGACCTACAGTGGCCAGGCCTTCATGCCCCTGCCTCCTGCAGTCACTGGTTGTGGGCCTCTCTGGAAGGGGCATATGTGCTCTTGGGTGGGTGGAGACAGATTGTGAAGGGACTAACAACCAAAGGCTACCAGAAGCAGGGACACCAAGTTCCTCCTTGAAGGTTGATTTGGGTGAAGCATCTCCATCTCTACCACAGAGATTTAAGGTGATAAAATTTAGGATCATCTTAATAGATGTAGACAAAGCATCTGATAAACTTCAACACAAAAATGACGTGAAAACCTCTTGGCAAACCAGTAATAGAAGGGATAATCCCTACCTTGATTTGCCTGTCAGAAACCTATTGTAAGCATCATACTCACTTTAATGGGGAGACTCAAACAGTCCCATTAAAATCAGGAAAAAACATACAATGCCCTTTATCACTACATCTGTTCAACACTGCGTTAGCACTAGCCAGTGCAATAAGAGAAAATAACTAGAAAAATTAGAACTAGAAAATTAGAAACCAAGAGAAGACTAGAAATATAATAAAATATAATAGAAGACTAGAAATGTAATAAAAACTAGAAAATAACTAGAAAAATTTCTTCTTATTTGTAGATAATATAATTATCCTCATTTAAAAGCAAAGAAAATATAAAAAGTTTTGGATCTCTATATTCAGAATAATTTCAATTAAAAAAAAGCAATCCTGTGGGATTGCTAGAACTTAACAAACTGATCCTATAATTAATACGAAAGTGCATGTGGCTGAGAATAGCCCAAACAATTTTTAGGAATAACAAGGTGGCTGAGATTTGCTCTGTCAAATATAAAGACTTAGCATAAAGCTTGAGGGCTTACAGCAATGTAAAAGGGATAGACAAATAAATGGAATAGAATGTGGAGCCCACAGCAGATTCAAGTATACAGTATATGGAAACTAGAATTTAATAGCAGAAGAATTAAAAACCAATAAAGGACAGACTGTTAAGTAAATTGTTATAGGATAATTGTTTATAAATATAAAAAATCTCAACCAAAAATAAATTCTGATGTAAATGCCTAAAATATGAACATATTTTAAAAAATCATAAAATATAAGAGATATCTTTATGACTTTGGAATGGAAAAGATACAAAAAGTACA